AAGAGGGAAAGGGAGTAGGGAGGAGGAAGGAAGAAAAGGTGAGAGCTGGGCATTTTGACAGGGTATTTCCATGTCACAATCTTCCTGCCCCAATCTCCCAGTTAACTAGGATCACAGATATGTGCCACCACACACCTGGCCTGTTTCTAGGATGGGCTGAGAACCAAACCAGGTCTCTCATGCAGCCTCAGACACTGCATAGCGGCACCCTCCCACTGGCATCACAGCAGCTGGCCCACCAGATGTTTTCCATAAATGGAATCAGACAGTATGCGGCTTTTTGAATCTGGTTTCGCTAGCTAAGCATAATGTTTTCAAGGTTCATCTACATCATAAACTATATCATCATTTCACTTTTTTTATGGTCCAATAATGTTCCATTGTATAGATAAAAAATGAGTTGTTTACTCACTCATCAATTGGTCATTTGAATTTTTTTGGCTATTAACAATAATGCTGCTATGAGTATTTGTGTACAATCTTTTATGTGACATGTTCTCATTTGTTTATACACATGGGAGTGGGACTGCTAGATCATATGGTAACTTTATGTTTAAGTTTTTAAGGAACCACCAGACTGTTTTTCAAAGTGGCTGCACCATTTTACATTCCTACAAATGATGCATGAAAGTTCCCATTTCTCTCTTTGCCAACACTTTTATCTAGCTTTTTATTCTAGCTATCTTTATGTGTGTAAAAGTGATCTCACCGTGGTTTTGATGTTCTTTTCCCTAATGACTAATGAGTTTCTTTTTGTGCGCTTATTGGTCTACTCCATGGTATATCTTTGGAAAAATGTCTGTTCAAATCCTTTACCATTTTTAAAGCAGGTTATTTTTCTTATTGTTGAATTGTAAGTACAGTCATGCACTGTACAATGAACAATATTTCAGTCAACAATAAGCTGCCTATATGGTGGTCCAATAAGGAATAAGCTATACCATATAGCCCAGATGTGTGGCAGGCTAGATCATCTAGGTTAGTCAGTACACTTTATGGTATTCATAAAATCAGTTTTTTATTCTAATGTCTTACAGCTTATATTTTTCTTTCATTGATGTGCCTTTGATTAGTTATCTAAGAAACCACTGCAGGGATTTATTGTTTCTTTCTTTCTATGAGTTTTATGGTTGCTTTAGCTCTTATATTTTAGTCTTTGATCCACTCTGAGTTGCTTTTTTTATAGTGTGAGTCAGTAGATATGTAACTAGCATTTGCTCAGTTCTCTCAGGACAGAGGATCAGCCCCAGTGGCTCAAGCTTATAGCTTTAGCTTAAAGGCCCTAGCAGCATTTGCTGAGGTCAAATTATGCCTGAAAGCTAGATACGACTTTGGTGACACTCAGCCTCATGCCCTGTGTTAAGGGTTTGGACCTATTTTAAAAGCAGAGGGAGGGATGGGATAAGATCTGGGTATTGGAGAAGACTCTGGCGCATGTGAGGAATGGGGACCGGATACAGATCTCTTAGGTTACTGCACTAATTTAGAGGAGATAATGGCTAATTAAGGTAGTGGCGTTGAGCAAGAAGAGAAGTGGAAAGATCCAAAAGAGATAGTCAATGAGGGAAAATGAACAAGAGATAAGACTAGATCATATAGAGTACAACCTTTGCTCAAAACAAGGTACAAATAAAGTCACTAGTTTTATTGAGCAGCTCAAACTAGTCCTGGAGGCAACTGTTCAAGAGGCGTTCCAAACTTTTGAGCAATGCACAGCTTCCCGCAAAGGCTTTAATAGTACATATGTTAATGTACATATTATTTTTTTTGTTAAAGTTAAGTTCACTAAATGCACTCCCTTGATATATACTTACTTGCAAGTGATAAAACAATATAGGTTTTTCAGTACTTCAGTCTAGGTTTCTGCTCAAATAAGTCTAAGTATGTGAGGTTTACTTTGTTTACTGATCCTGTTCTATAAAAATGGGCAGTCCAAAGATACCAGAAAGTTTACTGATAGCCAAAAATAACAAGGAAAGTTCTTATTCTCCTGAAATAGGAAATTCTGTATTTCCATAGTCAAAACAACAAACAGTTTTTTGAAGTTTTTTTTTAAATACAGAATTTTGATGAAATTTATTTCAGTAGAATAAAAAAACAGTAAGCAGAATGGAAATGTAAAGTGCTACATAAAAGCCCCCATTACATAAAATCTGAAAGGTTCATTGACTTAAACAGTTATAGGTGAAACAGACATTATATATTTTTCCAAGCATGCTATTTTAATTACCTTGGTATGTAGTCATATGCTATGTTGGTCAGAGGAAAAGCCGTGAGTTACCAGATCTGAGGAGTGGGAGTAATCTTAAGCCTCTACCTGCCAGGTTCTATACCCAGTTCTGATCTTATGCTGGAATTAAGGGGTTAAAGCGGGGTTCTAAAAAGAATCATTCTGGGGTCAGCCAATGGCATGGTGGTTTCCACATGGCAGCTGGATTCTGCATGGCCGGCTGCACAGTTCGAGTCCCAGATCCACCAACTTGAAAAACATGCTGGGTGTATATGCAGAAAGAAGAAATTGCAGCATGGCATGATTTCTCACTTTCCCTCTCTTTCTCAATGTCTCTCTCTATTGAGTACACATGCCATGTAACAATTTTTTAAAAAAATCATTTTCTCAAGAGGCCCTCCAGCAGAGTTTGGGTAAGAATGGACCCCAAAATCAGTTTTGCTCACTTGAGTCTACAGTGGAGCAGAGAATGACAACTTAAGAATTTTTAGGGTATTGGGACCAGCAGTTAGCATAATGGCTATGTCACTGGACTCCCACGTGGTTGACTGTGGTTCGAATCCCGAACCCGGTGGCTTAAACTCACGCCGAGCGCATGTGCTTGTATGTCCAAGATCCTGAGAGGAGAACAGAGGAGAAGGGATTGCAGTGTGGCTATCTCCCCTGGGGGTGATTTCTTGCTTTCTGTCTCTCTGTATCTGTCTGTCTGTCAAGCGCACGCGCCCTATAGCAAAAACTTCTTCAAAAAAAAAAAAAAAAAGAGAAAGAATTTTTAGGGTGTTATGTGAAGTCAAAGGGAAGGGGCAAAATGTACTACTTTCAGATGTGTGTATCAGATGTTTAAAAATCCCAACACAAACAAGCAGGTGACCAGTTAGTTGATGGGCAAGGAAAGAGGCAAATCAGACAGAAGGATCTGATGCAAAAATCTTCTTGGCCTAATTTAAAGTATAGTTATATTCCATGGAAACATGCAACAAGACCACATAGATCCAGCCACTGATCTAAGTCTGACTGAGAGGAAATAGAGGGAAGATTGTTCCTAGCACATGATTATTCTCGGCCTAAGCTGAGGGTGCCAGAATTTATTTCTTCTCAGATGCAAACACTACCTGGTCTTCCCAGTTGGGTCAGTGGTCTTTTGGTAGGAGAGCGGTAGCCATTGAAACTATGTTCAATATTTTGTGTTCTAAATCAAGACTTCAGAATGTATTTCCTCCTAGTAATTAATTTATAAAATGGTGACCTATCATTTTCTTGACATATGAGGTCTTCATAAAGTCCTTGGGCTTTTTAGACTTACCAATTTCAACTATAGACATAACAAAAACAATCTGTAAAGAGCTTTAAAATGCTAAATTATTAAAGTTTAAGATAATTTTGTATTATATAAAAGTATATATTCTTATTTTAAGATGCAGAGATAAAGGAGAATTGGCTTATGAAAACAGAAATTGTGTGATTAACAGAACCAAAGTCTCATAAAAGGAGTAAAAATTAAATTTGCTTTTAAAATGACTGCATAAATTGTTTCTGTCTTGTCCATAATTTCAGTTAAAACTACAAGAGGACTTTATGAATAGCCTCCCTCCCAAACTATTTCCAATGTCTTTAGGCTACTTTCTGTGGACTAGTCTAGAATCTAAATACCATTTATAGCATTGTTTGAGTTGTAAACAAAAACTTACAAACACTTTTAACTTATTGAAAAGCTGGGGACTGCCTGTATTTCAAACTAAATCTTCATTAATAATACCCTCAATGTGTATAAAAGAATAGAGTCTGAGGAAGGACATTTAGAAGAAAAATAGAGAGGTAAAGCATTAATGGGACAAAGAAATGTGGTATTATCTGTTAAACATAATTTTATATTTTATCACCTGACTAGGGGGAAATGTTCACATGTTGGAATATTCACTTTGTAAGCTAAATAATGTGACTGAATGTATAAAAGAAAATGAAATTTAAAAAAAAGAATAAAAAAATACCCTCAAGAGTATCCTCAATGTAGCTAACTGAACGTGCTGAAGGCCATTGTTTTTCTGTGATTACATGGTTTCATCAGGCATTATGATGATAAAATCATCTACTACAGTTTGTAGAACTAGCTAGTACTAAGTTATATACTGCTTTGTTTTTATTTCCCCCACTGAAAATTCTTGGGCTTTGATTTAGGTGGATAGTGCTAAGTAAAGGTTTTTCTAACTTCTGTCATTGTTACTTGGGCCCTGAGTTTTCTACTAAACTGGTACATGAACTATCTCAACCTTATATATATTCCTGGAATAAGTAAAATTTATATTGATTACAAAGGTATATAATACATTTCAAAATAAACAATTCAAAGCAGAGCAAACCTTCAAATCTTGAGATATTCCTACTTAACTTCTAGAAGAAAAATCTAGTGATTTCCTGGCATAGACCCATTCTTTCTTAAAATAAAGATCTATGGAGGACTGTTTTTTCATTCTTTCTAAATCTGTGTGCACTTTAGAGAGAGAGGGATGATAACAGCCTATCAGAGTGATTACAAAGTACTTCCTCTTTATGTAACATCCAGTAACAAAGATGTGATCTCATATTTGACTAAAATAAAGTCATTTTCACTGAAGAATGTTTAGGATACAAAGTCACAGATGGGCAATTCCAGATTTCCTATGAAGCTACTTGAGAAGTTTTGCTTTAACTTTTCCAATCTTCTATCCCTTTATCATTCTACATAAGTAGAAACAAAGTGCTCAATAAATGATATTAAGTAATATAATACTCATTGGAACTTAAAATACCATCTTTTATCCAAAAGTTCAAAGGGCTGCACAGAAAAGTGTCATAAATTTACATAAAAAAAGCTGAGGTGTGAGAAACAACAAGTTATGTCCTTTTGAAACATATCAACAGTGAAACAAGGATCTTCTGCGTTCTAATCCCTTACACTAAGCAGGACCCACTGCTGGACATAGTCTCAATGTCTAGCACAGTTATATTGAATTTATAAGGATCAAAAAAGGAATGAAAGGTAAATATAAAATGATCTTTTTTGTAAACAATCCTTATACCCAATGCAGAATGTTTAATGAAGCAGTTGAGTCACAGCTCTTAAGTCATGAAACAATATTATAACTCAAAGTCAAATATGTACTCATTGGCCAGATATATTCGTCGGAATATAAGAGCTGCCAATGCTAAAGTCAGGATGACAATCAGTACAGCTGATCCGCCGTGATCAGTGTGGTTGTCTCTTGGCTGTGGGCCCTGTATTACATCTGGTGAAGTAGACGACCTTCTTTGACTCTGCTGCTGGGCTCGGCGCTGTCGAGGGCTCATGGAGGTACTCTTAGCTACAGGTTGGGTTGGCTGTTGAAAGGATGGTGCTGAGGGATTCTGGGCTCCATACTAGGAAATTTTAAGAGATTTTGTTTGAAATTGATAAAAATAAAATTTGTACATATTTGTTAACTATTTAAGAATACATAAAATCTCTGAGTACTAAATATGATTAAGGGCAGAATTACCAATTATTACCTAAATGATGAGATTAATAACTCACTCCCCTGGATAAGCCAGCAACACAATATATTCTTTTTTGTTTTTGGAGAGGTTTTTGCTACAGGGCGCGTGCGCTAGCCAGAAAGACAGAGAGAGACAGAGAGATAGGAAGCAAGAAATCACCCCTCAGGGGGATGGCTATACCACAATCCCTTCTCCTCCATTCCCTCCGGATCTTGGGCACGCAGGCACACACGTGGCATGAGTTTTAAGCCACTGGATCCGGGACTCAAACCGCAGTCGGCTACATGGGAGTTGAACAACATAGCCATTACGCTAACTGCTGTCCCTATATATTCTAAGTAACTATTATGTGGAGAAGGAATTTACTAGGCAGGAACAAATAAGACAGGGACAGAATTTACCAAAATTCTCCATAAATGACTACTCTCCCTCAGATGTAACCCCAGCAGTATCTGCCAAGCATTTGGCACTTCCCTCTTTTAGGAGATCCAAGAAGGGAAACAATTTAATTTCCACTTTCAATTTGAAAATTAGCCACTCTAGGGACCAGCAGTTGGGGTAATGGCTGTATCACTGGACTCCCACGTAGTCAAACACAGTTCGAGTCCTGGACCTGGTGGCTTGAACTCACACCGCTGGTTGCGTGCCCAGGATCCTGAGAGGAGAATGGAGGAGAAGGGATTGCTGCATGACCATCTTCCTGGGGGGGGTGATTTCTCGCTTTCTGTCTCTGTCTCTTTCTGGTGAGTACACGCATCCTATAACAAAAACCTCTCCACAAAATAAATAAATAAATAAATAAATAAATAAGAGCACAATGGTGCTAGCACAAGGGATTGAGGCAAATTAAAGCTTTTATTTTATAGCACGTTATACCATGTTTTCTTTTATGTCGTGTTACTTCTTCCATTAGGTTTTTTTTATTTTTTTATTTGAGAGGTTTCTGCTATAGGGTGCGTGCGCTCACCAGAGAGACAGAGAGAGACAGAGAGATAGAAAGCGAGAAATCACGCCCCAGGGGGATAGCCATGCCGCAATCCCTTCTCCTCCATTCTCCTCTCGGGATCTTGGGCACGCACGCACACGCGCCAAGTGTGAGTTTAAGCCACCGGGTCTGGGACTCGAATGGCGGTCGACTACATGGGAGTCCAGCAACATAGCCATTACGCTAACGGCTGGTCCCCTTCTTCTTAAAGGAGATCATTATCCTGCTCAAAGCCTGACCAAAATAGTAAGCCTTATCATTACTAAGGTGGCTTTGCCACTTACCAGATGTATGCAAGTTATTTAACCTAAGACAACTCCCTTACCTGTACAGTAGAGATAACATACAACTCACAGTATATGAGGATTAAATAGGTTAATGATATAAAGTGTCTAAGACACACAATTGTTTATTAACATTAGTTATTATTAACACTGTTACTATTAATATAACTCTTTGGAGGTATCTAGATATAAGTAAAAAAAAAGCTGTAACTTAAGAGCGTTTTGGCCCTTTATTATTAGTATGATTAATATATTTAGGAAAACAACCCTTTAAAATATTGACTATAGATATTTAAGTATATACACTTAATGAAAATATCTGCATAGATACAAACAATACTTTAATTAGGTATCTATGTTTCAGAAGCCTTTTAGATGGTATATTATCAACTAAAATTTAATACCTTGATATCAAAATTCTGAAATATTTCATATTTAAAAATATCATAGTCAGAGTTAGGTCTCTAGTAAAAAGTATCAGTTTTTCTATACTAGTCTAGAATACCTAGTATCAGGCAAGAAAATTTGTGTTTGCTTTTTCTGAATGATTTCAGAAACCCAACCTCTGGAAAGAGAGAAAGTTCTGATAGACTAGAAGAATATAAAAAAATGACATCAGTATTTTTCCTATTTCTACATACCTAAAAAATCTGCATCAAAAGGCAACAGATGGCCTGATGTTATCTGCTGTATTTAGACTTTGGGCAATCTCTCGCCCCCTCAAGGCTAAAAAAAACATAGCTTATCTGGGATTTGATGTATAACATCTCAGTGAATTTATATTACATTCATGAACAGCAGCCATCCCTAGCCAAAACCAGGTTTCAGTTACTTCCATAGTGGTCAAATTATATAACCACACTCTGAAATGGTTTATGTGTAAATGTAATAAAAAGTTTAACTTGTGATTGTAGATAATGTATAGTTTGTTGGTATTTTAACTGAAATTGGTCTCACATGCTATAGGGCATGTGTACTTGCCAGAGAGAGTCAGAGAGAATGAGAGAAAGGGAAAATGAGAAATTACCTTCCTAGGGAGATGGCCACGCAACAATCCCTTCTCGATTTTCCTCTCAGGATTTTGAGTACACACACACAAATGTGTCTGACATGTTTTTCAAGCCACTGGGTCAGCCACTCAAACCACACAGTTGGACATGTAGGATCCAGCCATCTTAATCTCTGCAACACTTGCTGGCCCCATAGTTACTGTTTTTTTTTTTTTTTAAGTGCCGTTTCTAATATTCATGTATCCAATTAAGAGATATGTACTAACCACCTACTATATACAAGGCACTAACCTATGCAATGGGAATATAATGGAGAAGTTGAAAAAGAGTCCTGACTTTAATGAACTTTCATTTTCATAAGTGAGACAGATAATAAATAAATAATTATGAAATAAATTACAAGGCAATAAGTGTAACTAAAATATGTAATAAGGAAACTTTACATAGAATACACAGAAAACAGATTTAAATATATCACAAATATTAAGAGTCTGTCCTAAAAGATGAAAAAAGATTACCACCCCTCATAATAAAATGATTTAAAAATTTTTTTTGAAATAAAAAGTAATTAAATTGATGAAGAAAAAAGTAATTGAAAACTTTTTTAATATTTCAAACTGAAACATATACTGACTTTAAAATTAACTCATTACAGGCTGGCAGGTGGTGTGGTGATTAAGACACTGGACTCCCATGTGGTCAACCATGTTTCAAGTCCCAGAGCTGGTGGCTTGCTTTCTCTCTCTTTCTCTGTTTCTCTCTGGTCAAATTAAAATAACAATGATAATAACAGCAACAAATAAACTTAAACAAATAATTCTTTAAAAACATAAAATAAATTCATTATATCCCTCTGCAATTCATGAAATTACACTAGGATCGTGTAAAACCAACTTTAAACTCATCTGCATACACTTTTTTCTCATACCTCTGTTATCAAAAAGATCCCCACAACAGTTCATCTTTTGAATATAGAAAACAAAGTCATTGTTTTTTTCGCAGGCTCACTTATTTAGTACCAATCTAGTCTTATTACCTAGGGCAACCAATTTTTTTTAGGAAAACAGTTCAGGTCACAACTAGCAACATACAGAACATTTATTCTTTCACTGAACAATTATTTATTGGTTACTTGCTAGGTGCAAGGTTGCACTATCCAATAGAACTTTGCGATGATTATAATATTTCATATCTATCCTGCCCAGTATAGTAGCCATTGGCCATATATGGCTATGAAGCACTTGAAGTGCGATTGATATGACTGAGGAACTCAGTTTTTAATTTTATTTAATTTTAATTAGCTTAAATTTAGATCCCACATGTAGCTAGTAGCTACTATGCTGAACAGAGCAAGTCTAAGGTAAATTTCTGGCTCCAACTCTTCATTAAGTCAATGCCTTAAGGCAGTTTAATAAATCTGCCAAATACAGCATCTATTTAGAAAGTGGCTAACATATGCATATTTTGTTTTATTCAGGATCTAGAACTATATTGAAACTAACTTTTCAGAGAAATCATAGAATTCTAGAGGCACAATAGGACTTCAAAATGATTTAGTCCTGCCCCATTTAACGAAAAAGTAGGAATAATTTGCCCTAATTAATATAACTCATTAGAGGGACAGCTGGGCTGGAATCCATCTGTTAGGGGAACTGCCATTTTCAGAAATTTGATCTATGGATATTCTCCTAGTCCAAATAATGATAATGCTATAGATATTCATATATATTAAAAGATAATAACCATACTCGCTGACCATGGTTCAAGTCCCAGACCCAGCAGCTTAAAAATCATGCTGGGTACATGTGTGTGTGCCCAAAATCCTGAGGTATGAATGGAGAAGGGGTTGTGGCATGGCCATCCCCTGGGGGGTGATTTCCCTCTCTCTCTCTCTCTCATTCTCTATCTCTCTCTGGTGAGCACATGCACCCTACAACAAAAACCTAAAAAAAAAAAATAAAAAAGAAGCGCCATACCGATGTACTAGCTGTGGCACCTTGGAATGTTGCAGGTATATCACCTTGTAAATCATTTAGTGAAAAAGAGTGGTTTAAGTCTGCCTCAGTGACAGTCTTTCCAGATGAATTGACTTCTGCCTATGAAAAAAATACACCAAGAGCAGTGTTAAAAGAGGAAACACACATAACAACCAACTTACTAAGTTCCCTCTTCTCAATTTATTTTAACTACTTGTTTAATATTTACTTACTATCAATCAGTTAAACACTGAGCACTCACAAGTCCAATCTGTGCCAGATATTGCAAGAAGAGGCATAGACAGTTTCTGTTTTCAAGAAGTTATTACTTGGTGAGGGACAGCACCAACATCCATGATTTATAGTCCACAATTCTAAAATCTCTGATATTGGCAATTTTTAGGCAAAGCCAGACATGAATTGAGGTGAGGCTATTAATAGTCTTTATCCCACATTAGTACATATTCTCAGGTTTGTTGAAGAAACATTAATTATTTCGACTAAGATGTGCTATCTCAGGGGCCAGCAGGTGGCATGGTGGTTAAGGCACTGATACCACATGCCCAATTCCACCGTTTGAGTCCTGGATCTGTTGGCTTGAAAAACCACTCTGGGGGACCAGCAGGTGGCGTAGTGGCTAAGGCACTAGACTGTCATGTAGTTGGATCACAGTTCAAATCACAGACCCAGTGGCTTGAAACTCAAGGCAGGCACATTTTATACGTTCCTAAAATCTCAAGAAAAGAATGGAGGAGAGGCGATTGTGCTGTGACCATCCCCCCTGGAGGTGATTTCAATCTTTATTAATAAATTTTTTTAAAAAAAGAAAGAAAAACCACGTTGGGGCATATTTGCCCCAAATCCTGAGAGAATAGAGTAGAGGAGAAGGGATGGTGGTATGGCCATCTCTCTGTGGGACAATTTCTCACTTTCTCTCTTTCTCTCTCTCTCTCTCTCTCTCTCTCTTTCTGGTGAGCACACACATCCCATGGCAAACAGGAGAAAAAGTAAAAAAAAAAAAAAAAAAAAAAAAAAAAAAAAGGTGTTGCCCCAGATCCTACTAAGGGTCAGTTGATATATGGCATATATAAGGTATTTTATAAAATATAAAAAATTCTGATGTGCAAAATACAGCTAGCTCTACGATTTTCAGAGATACAATTTAAAGTGTAATAAGAATCCTCAAAAAGAAGAAAGCCAGCATTCACTGAGCACCTCCGCTTTCAGGCACCTCCACTTCCAACAGAAGGAAAACTCCTAAGAACTAGAGCCAAAAAGACAGACAGTAAGTAGAGAAGAGGGAGAATGAATGAAGCATGTTGCTTAAGATGGGTTGACATTTTATTGGGTGTGTGAAGTTAGTTAAATTCTAGAAATGTGGCTACTCATACAGTACTTTAATACCTAAATATATAGTATATGGGTAAAATATATGCAGAAAAGAGATATAAAGAAGAGATTTCAAATGTAACTATAGATTGTAATTTCTTTCCTTTTTTTAAAAAAATTATTTATTATTATTTTTTAATTTGACCATAGACAGAGGGAGAGGGAAAGTGAGAAAGCAAGACACCAGACTCAGAATTCAAACCGCAGTTCGCCATGTGGGAAGAATCCGGCACCCCAACCACTACACCACTTGCTGGCATCTGTCATTTTCTTCTTATTGCTTATCTGTATTTTCTATAATAGCTAAAGTTATTAAGCATCAGGAATAGCTCTAACTGTAATATATGTAACACATATATTATATGCATTAACTCAATCCACACAACAATCCTTATTCACAGATGAGATAAAAGAAAAACTGGCCAAGTAACATGCCTGATGTCATACTACTAATAAACAGAAAAGTTGGGAATTAAACCCTAGTATTGTATATCAAAGTTCAAACTTTAACCACTACGCTGTAATGCCTTTGTGAATGTAGATTATGATTTATGTAATAAAAAATTATTTGTAAAACCTTACTGCAATAGAATTATATTGGTTTCCTTCCTACTCAGAATTTAGCAGTAAACAAAAGGCTACATAATTAGAACTTATTGAGGAATTTATAATACCTTAAAACTAATTTGTCTGGCCAGTTCCTTGGCCTCTTGGTCAGCCTGGCTTGAGTCACTTCCAGATTTTAAAGGTAACAGGACATCCTTCATGGTAGACCCACATCCTTCACAACAGAAATCTTGTGACCTGGTAGAAACATTTTTTTTTTTGATGAGTAAAAATCAAATAGTTGAATATTAAGTCCCTTTTATTAGATACTCAAATACTGAATGAATAAATTTAGAAGAAAAGAAGGGGATCAGACAGTGGTACAGTAGTAAAGTGTGACATAATCAAGGGCAATCTCACATGGGAGGGTTCTCTATTCATGTCTAGAGAACTCCCTGAGTATGCTGGGCACCAGCTTGTGCAGTATCTGGACAGGCTGAAGTCTTGAGGAGGATCACAGCACTAAGACCCTGTTGGGGATACTGTCTTTATGTGTGTGTATCTCTCTCGCTCTTTTCTCTCTTACCCTAGAAGAAAAACTTTTTTTTTTTTAAAGAAAAGAACAATGGACAATTCCACATCACATTCATTCACATGCTGTAAATTAGACAATTAAGGTAATAATTATAGTTCTGAGACAAGTATTTAGTTAGGTTGATATTTTTTAAAAATCTAGCTCAGTGCAGTGGCCTGCTCCAGCTACTCGAGAGCTGAGGTAGAAGGATCCTGAGGCTGAAGGCTATCTGGGGAACATAGCAAGATCCTGTCTCCTAAACAAATAAAGGGCCAGCAGTAAAAGCGACTGGATTCCACATGGCCAAGTACATGCTAAGTTCCAGACGAGGCTGCTTGGAAAATACACTGGACACAGGTGTATGCCACAAAATCCAGAGAAAATAGAGGAAAAGAAATTTGGCATGGCCATTCCTCCTGAGAGGTGATTTCTCACCTTCTTCCTTTCTCTTTCTCTGGCAAGAGCATGTACCCTATAGCAAAAACTAAACAAACAAACAAAAAAGTAAATAAATAAAATTCAGAGCTTAAATTTCTCTTTTCCCAATAAACTATCTAAATAAAAATAAGTTTTACATCTATACTATGACAAAATATAGAAATCATCTATTATACTGTTCTCAAGTTCACACAATAACACGTTTTATGCCTGTGGAAAAAGTCCATTATAAAGCTCAAGTTATCTTTTAGCAGAAACATATATAAAACAGTAAAGACGCTAATTAAACAGAATTTGCTCAGAAATCCCATTTACCTAAATAGTAGTACAACTTAAGACTTGGGAGAACTTGTGGAAATCCAAAGACTGAGTCTATCACTGATTATATTGATAGAGACTTAATATAAACCTGTTAACTATTTTCTAATATATATTTGTTTTCCTGATTTCTCATTTACATCCCAGATATAGCCAAAACAATTCTAAAGCTCAGAGTGCTGTGAAGATTTGAATGACTAAAAGTAAATATGTATAATATATGGAGAAATGTTGTATCACTGAACTTTTAAAAAAACTGTGTTAAAAAGTTTATTTTTCCCCTTTCATGAGTAAGAGAGACAAAGAAAGAGAAAAAGAAAGGGAAAGAAGTAGGAGAAGGAAAGAGAAAGAGAAAGAGAGAGAGAGAGAGAGCGCATCCCCAGTAGGGTCTTGAAGCCATGATTCACCCAAGCCTTCTCAGCTGTGGATCATGAGCAAGCATATGCCTGGTGTACTCTTGAAGGTATCCAGAATTGAATCAGGAACATTCCATGTGAGATCACCTTGCAAAAGCTTTGCATTTCACCATTATGTCACCATAAGGTCCCCATAAAAATTGTTTTCCTTTTTATAATACTTACAGTTTTATATAGTGCAAAAGTCTTACATATTAAAGAGCTTGTTACTTAAATATATCAAATGGCATCATATACAGACATACATACAGGGCTGGTTAGGTGGCACGGTAGTTAAAGTGGCTAGATCCCACATGGCTGAGTGCACAGTTTGAGTACTGCACCTGGCAGCTTGGAAAACACGCTGGGCGTGTGTGCGTGCATGCCCAAAATCCTGAGAGAAGAATGAATTGAGGCACTGTCACCCCCCCAGGGGCTGACTTCTCACTTTCTCTTTCTCTCTCTCTATCTCTTTGGTGATTGCACATGTCCCACAGCAAAAACTATATATATATATATAAAAGTATATGTAACAGTAGCATTAACTTAGCATGTATTGATGAATATTTTTTGTTTCACCAGAAGCAGAATTACTGGCCATATCCCTTTGAAAATCAGTTGTATACAAATTATTTGCCTTAAAATGTGTTCACTTTTTTCCCTCAAAGATTTATGCTACAGGGCGTGTGCAGTCACCAAAGAGAAAGGGGGTAGAGAGAGAGAAAGCACCTCCAGGGAGATGGCCATGTTGTAATCCTGTCTCCTCCATTCTCCTCTTGGGATTTTGGAGATGTGCACACATACACACACCTGGCATGTCTTTTAAGCCACCCAAATTCGAGACTCGAACCATGAAGTTGGCCACGTGGGATCCAGTGCCTTAACCACTGTGCCACCTGCTGGCCCAAAATGTATTCACTTTTAACTGAGAAGTCAGATGAAATTTAAAGGAGAATGTTTATTTTTAATATATTAGTTTATCTATGAGGATAGTATGCTATTATGGCTGAATGCTAAATCATTTTTTAAAAGGCCTCCATCATAGACTAAGAACATAGACTATACTCAAAAGTACAGAAGGACAAGAAAACAAGTTTATTATTTTTTTAAGATTATGTATGAAATCAGCTGGATAAAAGTATCAAGATAGAAAACCAACACAGGAAATCAAATAAAAACAAATATTCAAAATGCATATTATAACCAGTGAACTGCAGCTGCAAGTTAAGATTATCTCTAGAATTTGAGAATAAGGTTTAAAAAGAGGTTGCTGGGGCCAGCAGGTGGCGTGGTGGTTAAGGGCGCTAGACTCCGATGTGGCTGACCATGGTTCGAGTCCCGGACCTGGCAGCTTTCTTTCTTACTTCCCCCCTCTCTCACTCTGTCCCTCTCCGGTCAAATTAAAGCAAACAAATAAATAAAGTTATATAAAATAATTCTAAAAAAATGAAGAAGAAGAAAAAGAAGAAGAGGTTGCTGATGATACCAGGGAGTCTACCATGTTTTCTAACTATTTGATTGAACAAACATCTATGGGGGGGCCTACTCTAGGCTGTCCTAGGGTAAAAATGCAGTAATTTAATTAACATAATATGTCTGAAGGGTGGTAAGCAAAGACTCCAGAACAATAAAATTATATCAAGCATGAGATCGCAGCTCTACTCAAAGGAGAGGATAATCTGAACTGAGTGACTCATCTTGGTTTTACAGACAAAAATGTACCTGGAAAAAAACAAAGAAGGCAGTATCACCAGGCGATGATAACTTGATAAAAAAATTTCTTCTGCTTTAATTCAAAGAATTTATTGAGTACTTGCTAAGAGCTATTGATATACACTGTGGATACAAAGATGGATAAAGTAGATTCCTTGCCTGTCCTCTGGGAGTTTTTAATTTTGTGGTAAGCTACAAAGAAATAATTGCTCTGGTTCTTTTCTGTCTATAATATCATCTGGGTAGAAACTAATGATCAATATTGTTTTTTTTCAGAAGAATATATCTCCCACTGTAGTAAAATAAATCTGAGGGGATATTGTCAACTACTTTTAAAAACTAGATACCAGGAAGTCAATTCTTCATATTCTGGTCACTCCAAAGAAATCGGTACAACTCACTTTTTAAAACAACAAAACTAAGGCCAGATCCTGTAGCCAAGGTAACTCATAGTGTAAATGACAATGTAAAAGAGAGCCTATCTCCACATAGCCATTCCCCAGAATTATACTCAGTCTTAACAAAGAATGAAATGTAAAACTTACTTTTTTGCAAGTGCTCTTCTTTCCTCAGGTGTGTAATCTAGAGAACCTATGGCTCCCTCGCCTTTTGTTGGCATAAACCCAATGATGGCTAGTAATGCTGTCCTTACTGAAATAAAAAACAAACATTAATCTAAGTTGCTCTGTAAAAAAACTGGGTTTACTCTGGAAAAAGAAAAAGAAAAGATGGCTTTTAAAGAAGAGGTACAGATAAGGAGAGTGTATTATGGTGGCAAAAATCTAGACATGGAAAAGCATTTTACTTATGTATTCAGTAATACAAAAGTATTTATTCAAATCAGCTTCAATTTCAAGTGGGTATTGCGCACTGTAATTCTGACTTGACTAAAGTTATGTAAGATCTATATTCACTATAAATTAATACTTACTACTCCATGAAGGCTGCCAAGTCTCAGGATGATGTCCTGAGATGCTTAAACAGATTTTCTTGCCCACTTCAAATCGTCCGTTAGCCTTAGGAATAAATAATGCATTTAAAATTATATATGTGTGCTTAATGTTTTATATTTTCTATGAATAAATGCATTTTATATATTTGCAAATTAATAATAATTATAAAGAGAATTTTAAAAGAATGGAACTTCCAAGGGACACAGATTTTTGTCCAAAAATATTTGTTAGATGCTGAATGAAGAGTAAAAGCTGCTTTTAGAAGGTGACAGACCAGTCTGGTGATACAGTGGGTAGTGTACAGAATTGCAGTGTTGGGAGCCACATGGTCAGCTCTGGGTTTGGGTCCCCTGGTTGGCCAGAAAACACCTTGGGCATGTGCTCACACACCCAAGATCCTGAAGAACTAGAGGGCTGGGGAAAAGGGGTCATGGCATGATAGAGCCTGTCAAGGATGCTTTTTTCTCCTTCTCTCATACATTAAAAAACAACAACAAAAACTGTATCCTTGATTGGTTATCACATACTGCATGCATACTTTGAAAAACCATACTGGGACCAGCAGTTAGCGAAATGGCTATGTCGCTGGACTCCCATGTAGTTGACCGCCCAAGATCCTGAGAGGAGAATGGAGGAGAAGGGATTGTGGCGTTGCCATCCTCTTTGGGGGTAATTTGTCACTTCCTGTCTCTTTCTCTCTTTCTGGCGAGCACACACGCCCTATAGCAAAAAACCTTTCCAAAAAAATAAAAGGTATTATAGCACCTTTTAGAGACTAAGTTATACAATAGAATTCTAAATTATCTATATTTACTGATGTTCTGTGCTTACTATGGAGAAAGGTTCAGTTAAGAATCTGAAAGATGGGCCCCCAGATGATGTGGTGGTTAAGGTGCTGGACTCCCATATGGCTGACCACAGTTTGAATCCCAGACCTGGCAGCTTGCTTTCTCACTTTCCCTGCCTCTCTCTCTCGCTCTCTGGTCAAATTGAAGAATAATAATAGTAAAAAAAAAAAAAAAGAATCTGCAAGACATATAAGGCTACCATAAAATCTAACTAACCTAACTAGACATTGGTGAGGAAGGGCATGGACAGAAAGGCTGTGAGGTAGAAATGATGTTTCAAAAGGATGTTATTTAATAAGATAGAAATACAGAAGACAAAGATCAGAGATAATGATTTTAGTTTTAGACATGGATCTGGCATCTTGGTAGGAAACCTACTGATGATGTCCAGCAGGCAAGCAGAAATATAGGTATGCTGATATGAGAAGATACACACACACACACACACACACACACACATACACACACACATATATATGTGTGTGTGTGTGTGTGTGTACATATATGTATGTATGTATATACACACACACACAGATATATATTAGGTGTTTCTCTTCACAGAGATAATTATTGAAGGTAGTCTGTAAAAAGTAAGAGAAATCAGCTGAAGTCTGAACTTGCAGAATATTCATGGTTAGGGGAAGGGTGAGGAAGAAGGAGCAGAAAGTTCGAATATAAACTCCATGTAGACAGAGACTCTGACTTACTTTATGCCACACCCATAGGGCCTGGTACATGATATGTTTAATGTTTGTTGAAACTTTTGAGGAGACTTTCAAAAGAAAGTGAACTAGAAAGAGTACAATATTGAATATTAGTAGAGGTAGGCCAGTTCTCAGCCAATACAGTAAATATGATCATACCATTGGTTAACTACTGACATCTGTATTTGTTGGTAGAGAGCTGTTGCCAACTACCCCACCACCACACCATCACCACAAGTTTCCCCATGCACCAGCCCCACTCTGCAGACTACTAAGCTCTTCCCAGATCTAGTAAGTAAAAGAAGTGACTCTTGACATAGCTGGGTGCCTTCAGGACCTACTCCAGCCCTACTGCCAGCATTAATTTTCAATATCACCTAATGCTTGTTAAGTAGCCAGGAACTTTTCAGTATGATTACATTTACCATATACAACATTCCTTTTGGCAAATAAAACTAAATCTCAAAGACATTATAGGGCCAGCCCATGGTGGTGGTGGTGGGTAAGGAGGCTGCATCCCACATGGCCAACTGCATGATCTGATTTCCAGACCCTGTAGCCTGAAAAACATGATGGCACATGTACGTGCATGCCCAAAATCCCAAGAGGGAGAAATGAAGAAGGGATTGCAGCATGACTGTCCCAAATGGGGGTTGCTTTCTCTCCTACCCGCCACCCAGCTGTCTCTCACCTTCTGGCAATTTAAAAAATTTTAAAAAGCATTATATAATCTGCCCATGGTATAATGGAAAGAGCACTGGAATCCAGGTCTGCAGGCCTCCAAAATGAATGCTCACTCCATTATACAAATATATGTAAAACAGTATTAATTTGGCATCGTATTGATGAATACCTTCCTGCTGCACCATTTGCTACTTCATGTGTGTCATATATTTAACTTAGACCAGTGTGAAGGCAAGACAAGACAATAGGAATTCTGGTCTCTATGACTGCTGTAGTAAACATGTTTCAATAAAGTCCTATGTGTAGAAGCCAAACTGCCACAAGCTGAACTGGAGTAATGATCCTTAGAAGAGAAAAACAGGAATAGCATAAAGTAGAAACAGACACATGAAGGTTTTTGTGTTTTGTTTTTGCTTTTGTATTTTTTGAGAACAGGAGAGAATCAAACAGTACTTATAAATTTAAAGAAATGAGAGAAGAAAAGCTTAACAATTGAGAAAATTAGATTGGTAATTTTCCTTCACATGAGGATAAGCTTTGTTAAGACTGAAAAATTTTGAGGTATAAATAGCAACAATATAACTAACATTTACTGAAGACTGTCAGGCTCTATTCAAAAAGCTGTACATAAGATATTGACACTTTTTTTTAGGAATTATTTATACTTTATTTATTCATTCATTTATTTTAATTTGACCAGATAAAGACAGAGAGAGAGAGAGAGACAGAAAGTGAGAAAGCAAGCCACCTGGTCTAGGACTTGAACCGTGATTAGCCATGTGGGAGTGTCCAGCACCTTAACCACCACACCACCTGCTGGTCCCAAGAGATTGAAACATTTTAAAAATAATTATTTATTTAATTCCATTTGTTATTATTATTTTTAAATTTGACCAGACAGAGACAGAGAGAGAAAGGGAAAGCAAGAAAGTAAGCCACCATGTCCAGAACTCGAACCATGGGTGGCCATGTGAGAATCCAGCGCCCCTACCCACTACACCATCTGCTGGCCCTGATACTGACACTTTTAAGCCCACATTGATTTAATGAGGTAGGTATCATTTTTTTTTTTTTTAAGAGAGATTTTTTGCTATAGGGCATATGCACTCACTGGAGAGACGGAGACACAGAAGGCGAGAAAACACGTCCCCAGGAGAATGGCTACACCACAATCCCTTTTTCTTCCTTCTCCTCCTGGGGTCTTGGGCATGCATGCACATGTGCCTGACATTGAGTTTCAAGCCACTGGGTCTGGGACTTGAACCATGGTCAGCCATGTAGAGTCCAGTGACTCAACCACTATACCATCTGCTGGTCCCAGTATCATTATTCTTATTGTAAAGATGAGAGTATACAAAAGGTAAAAAGTTGAAGATGATGTGACTATGAGGTACAGTAACATTAGTTATCCTTTATCAAGTACTTACCATTTGTCAGACACCGTGCCCAGCACTTTGTGTACATTAATACACTGAATCCTAACAATCACTCTATGACATTTATGTATTCATTATTATCATTAGCACTTCTCATGTGAGTCAGCCTCCTAGGAATTATTTGAAGGAAAAAAAATGCAAGCACAGAGTGTGAACCCCAAAGGCAAAATTAAAATAATGTTTCACTTTATTTCTTAATGAATGAGTATGTTGACTATATTTTGCAACCACTAGGAAGAATTAAACCACAAGCATCCAAAAGTCAAGAATTCTTACCGTTAAGAGAATAATACTTGGTGGTTTCATGGGATACTCTGGTGGCAGTACTATTCTTCCATGGTAAACTCCTCCATCAAAGTCAGAATCTGGGGGCCCTCTAACTGTGAAGTGCCATTCAAAAAGGTTATCCTGAACAAAAACAATAGTCCACAAGGAATCAATAACATTAAAAAGTTTGATCACTTTTATCATTATGGATATTAGAAATATTACCAGGAAAGAAAATTAAATGGTTTATATTACGTGTTAATATTTGTAAAGCACTTTAAGAAGTGCTTTAGTGTAGGGCAGTGTCTAGTTCATAAAATCTCAAGACTAAAAGTTACAAGCTAATAAAAATTATAAATAGGAACTGTTTAATTTAGCTTTCATATCTTATAAGATCTAAAGTCTTAAAATAAATGAAAAATGTACAGGTTCAGGGGTGGCAGGTGGCATGGTGGTCAAGAGCACTGGACTCCCACATGGCCGACCACAGTTCAAATCACGGACCTGGTGGCTTGCTTTCTCACTTTCCATCTCTCTCTCTCCCCCTATCTGGTCAAATTAAAATAAAACAAATAAAGTTAAATAAAATATTTTTTAAAAATATACATATAATGGGCCAGCAGGTGGCATGGTGGTTAAGGTGTTGGAATACCCACATGGCCAGCCATGGTTTGAGTCCCAGACCTGGTGGCTTGCTTTCTCACTCTCTCTTCCTCTCTCTCTGTCTTTCTCTGGCAAAACTCATGTGAAAAATAATATTAAAAATAATAATACTAAATAAATCATTCTTTTTAAAAAAAGAAAAATATATACATTTAATTAAATTAGAAATTAATCATTGAAAGAATACCAACTAGTGGTATTATCATAATCAAAAAATTATTATAAATGTGTGGGTTATTTTAACAAATCTTTAAAAAGTATCCCTTACAGATGCCTAAGCACTTATTTATAAATGGTTAGTAATATAAATAATTTGGTATCAATATCATCTTATTTTTACCAAGTATTTTCCAGTTTCTAAAATACTTGCATATGGGACCAGCAGTTAGCGTAATGGCTATGTTGCTGGACTCCCACGTAGTTGACCGCGGTTTGCGTCCTGGACCTGGTAGCTTAAAACTCACGCCGGCTGCGTGTGCGTGCGTGCTCAAGATCCTGAGAAGAAAATGGAGGAGAAGGGATTCTGCTGTGGCCATCCTCCCTGGGTGTTTATTTCTGTCTCTCTGTCTCTCTCTTGTCTGTCTGGCGAGTGCACGTGCCCTATGGCAAAAACCTCTAAAAAATAAATAAAATACTTGCATATACATTATTACACTCTTATTCTCACTGTTACCATAAAAACCAAACTGAGGCCAGCAGGTGGCATGGTGGTTCAGATGCTGGACTCCCACATGGCCCACTGTGATCTGAATCCTGGACTGGTCAGCTTGATTCTCACATTGGGCATGTGTGCATGTGTACCCAGAATCCCAAGAGAATGGAAGAGAGCATACTGTAGTGTGTCCATCCCCCCCTGGGGGATTTCTCACTTTCCCTCTCACTGTTCCTCTCTGGCAAGCATATGCGCCTTATGGCAAAAACCTTAAAAGAAAAAAAAATACAGAACACATATAAATATAAATGAGAACTAATGAGAGGTTGAAATGTTTGTGCAAAAAGCCAGGTAGCTGCAGAGCCACAATGGATCTGCCAAATTCAGAGCCTGGAGTTCTTCCACGTCCCTTCACTTCAAGACTAATGCAAACCTAGCAAACTGAAATGCCATTTTACAGAGACCAAAAATTTGCTTCTTCAAAAATCTTATTCTGGAGAAAAGGCATGTATGCCTCTTCTCTGGGCCTAGGTCACCCATATTTGGCTTGGAAATAAACTGCATTAATTATTATTAATTTTTACAGTTGGTCATTTTTCTGTCGATAAGATGGTGATCCAGGTGGGACCAGAGATGAACCAGAGATCTTCTGAGGGGACACTTCGAACCCGGTGCGTCATACTAGCAGTGGGCCCTTTGTGCCCTCTCCAGCTCCGAGCCTCTCCTGGGGGAGATTTGGCCTGACTTTTTCCTTCACCCAGAGACAAGTGGCTATTGAGTCAGACATGTTATTCCCCCAGGATTCCTAGGGATTAGCCTCCCTAGCACTGTGGGACCTGACTCCTAGCGATGGGCCTCCCTAGCACCATAGGCTCCTGGGGGAGATTTGGCCTGACTTTTTCCTTCACCCCTGACTACTAGGGATGAGCCTCCCTAGCACCATGGGACCTGACTACTAGGGATGGAGCCTTCCTAGCACCGTGGGACCTTGTCAGTTTTGTGGCCTACACATGCATTCGGAGGAATGATTTTTGGCCAACAGGGGGACTACTTTTCCTATTTTCCAAAATCTTTTCAAAAGGGACTGGGAAAGTCATGTCCACAAACATTAACAGACCATTTATTCTCCATTAACAGGATTCTTCCTACATCCTGTCCCTGGCATAATATCTTTAAGATGCATATTCCAACCAATTTTAGTATATTCTTTTGCTTATCTCTTCCCAGCACACAGAACTTCCCTTTCCTTGAGATGTAATTAAGCTTTTCTTCAACTAATTTCTTCCCAAGACAGATCTTCCCTTCCAATCACCAACCTAAGAATTGTGGAACCCACCTATAACCTACAAGCCCCCACTTCCACATGTCCCACATTTTTGGGCCAGACCAATGGAAAATCTCTTCACTAAATTTTGTCTGTCAGAATTTAGAAGAGGCATGTATACCTCTTCTCTGGGCCTAGGTCACTCATATTTGGTTTGGAAATAAACTGCATTAATTATTAATTATTAAAAAAATCTTATTCTGAGTAGCTAATAAGTACTCTTCAAATAAAAGGAATAAAATATATCAGAACCAGCAGTTAGTGTAATGGCTATGTTGCTGGACTCCCATGTAGTCAACCGCGGTTCGAGTGCCAGACCCGGTGGCTTAAACTCACGCTGGGTACATGTGCATGCATGTCCAAGATCCCGAGAGGAGAATGGAGGAGAAGAGATTGCGGCGGCGTGGCCATCCCCACTGGGGGGTGACTTCTCGCTTTCTGTCTCTGTCTTTCTGGTGAGCACACGCACCCTATAGCAAAAACCTTTCCCCCACCAAAAAAAAAAAAAAAAAAAAGAAGGAATAAAATTAACTACATCAAACACACCGATAATGACTCAAAGAAATGAAAAAGCAATTTCAAAGAATTTGTGTTTTAAATACTAAAGCACTAAAATTCGTATGAAGAATACAGAAATAGAAACTAACCTCTAAAGGCTGAGCATGATAATGATCTGTTGGATCTTTCAGTTCTGCTGCTTCTTTCATCAAACGTTTAACAGCTGAAATAAAATTCATAGAGACATTTAAAATAAACTTCTGAGTAACAGTACCGACTTATAAGCCTAATGAAAAAGTTTCTACTTCAATGAAAATTGTGAAGAGGACTAATCCAACTGAGTATACGGTAAAGGTTTAATTATAAGATAATAGTAATAAATGTAGACAGGAAATGGTAGGTAGGATCAGAAGAATGGCATATTTTGAAGAGTTATGTATTAAATATAGAAGGAAGAAACTTTTTATTTAATAAGCACTTATATATACCACCTTTATGGTAGCACTTCTTAAAGTGCTTTACAAATATTGACACATGTAATCTTCAAAACAACACTATTTTCCCAGTGAGGAAACTGAGACATGGAGAGATAACACTCTCTAGGTCACACAGCTAGGAAATGACAAGAGCTGGATTCCAACATAGGCAGTCTGTCTCTTCCTTGTTAAAATGTCTGTATTGTAACCAGAAGGTGGCATAGTGTTTAAGGCACTAGACTCCCACATGGCCAACCAAAGTTCAAATCCTGAACCTGGTGGGTTGCTTTCTCACTCTCCCTCTCTCTCTGTGTCTCTCTCTAGTCAAATATAATAATAATAAATTTAAAAATAAAATAAAAAATAATTTTTTAAAGTCTGTATTAACAATTATCTGCAGGATTTCATATTTGGTGAAGAGTAAGACCCCCTTATAGTCCCAACCTTTTGGTGCTTTCCACCCATTATAAACATAATACTGGGTTGTTGGAAAAGTCATGATGTATTTTTCTGTTTTTCTATGCAAAAATGCATCATGACTTTTCCAACAACCCAACAGGACTATCCCCTGACTTCACTGATTTTCTACAGTCCTAATAAAATTCCTTTTTGAAGTGATTCTTCAACTTAATTAAAACCTCCAACCCACTGACCCTACAACTTTTTTCACCCCACTTACACCTATATTCACTTTCCCGTTTGGCTCTTAGGAGTCCCTCTGTCATGCTCTCCTAATAAAATTCAACTCTGGCTGACCTAACCTAGCCATCTTTGTATTTGACGTCTATAGGCAAATAGTTAAGCACTACTGAAAAGGGAGAGAAAAGGGAGGCTGGCACACATTATCAACAACCTCCACTGGAACACAAAGCCACCCAATGTTCCTACATCTCTCTAGTAAGCCTTCTAGGCCACTCTCTCTAACACCCCAAAACTATTTCACCCCTATTCTCATCTCTCCTCTTTTTCACCTCTTTCAGTTAATGCCCAGCCTTTTATGTCCATGACCATGCAGGAGTGCACTTAAAGCCTATCACAAACTACAATCCTATCTGTGTCTAAACCCCCT